GACTAACGGCAGGAGCATACAAACCACTGCTCTAAATGAAGACTGCAATGATGCAATAAGACCAAATGATTAAAAGAAGTAAAATACGACAAAAATTATTGTAAAATCAAGGAATGAAATAAAATAAAACTAAATCTGAATAAAAAACACCGACAAATCTTGCACGCTTACATATGCGAATAATTTCAGTTATCATAAAACTTATTCCAAAAAAACAAAACAAAATAAAATGACGACCGTCGGATTTTAAAAACCAAATTAGATGTCGAGAAAGCAGCAATACAGCGAATCTAAAGACAGGGGGGCTTACGGAAGATCACAGAGTGTATGTGTATGTGTGATGGTAAAGATTAAGTGGATGGGTAATGAATCGCAAATTCGAGAGAACGCCAGGGGATATGCAAGGGCTCATAATGACCACAATAACAATAAATGATGATGATGATGACGACGACAGTAATCAACGAAACATTAATCCAGTTCAACTCTTAGCAGCAATTGCTTGAACCGGTCAACGGAGGATTTCCGCCCGGTGAATTGGGTGAACTTGGTGAGTGCTGCGGTCCCAATTTTATACCATTTGCCTGAAATTCAGATCAGTTCAAATCAATACGCACAGCACTCTTCTTCTTCGACAATTTCACATTATATGTGGATCTGTTGAATAACCACAACCCTAATCATCATCTCGCTGAGAGCCTTCAGTGATTCCAAAAACAAATTTCAATCTCTTCAAATGGGTTGCTTCAACACGTTTCGTCTTGATAGGCCAATGAAATTGCTCACATGATGACCACTTTTTATATCCAATCAAATTTATTCACTGATTGAAAACGCAAAAACATTGATCACTTTTGCAAATAACTAAACTTGAAAATAAAGTCTAAAATGTAAAAAAGGGCGTGAAGCGCACACTGCGCCTCGTGCACTTCAACAAGCAATATTTCTTGGCACTGATGCACACACACATCAGTGAGAATAAGGATTTGCATAAATTATAATAAACTGCACGTAAAGAATAAATCAAATCAAAGCAAGAAATATCCCAACAAAGTATGAAAGTCATAAAACATTCATAACGAAAGTCTTCAAGCAGAGAAATTTTGCAGCTTCACACAATAATAAATCTTTTATTGGTCAAACTTATAGAGTAGAAATGGTACGGCTTTTTTTGCAATGTGCAAAAACTTTTTTCGTGTCAAATTGGTGAAAATCTATGATCACAGTTCCCAACAGAAGTCATCAAATTTGATATCACTCACCTCATTATTGATATCAAAGACACCTTCTTGAATTTTCCGATAAATTTCCTTCGCCGTATCGATGAATGCCTACACAAAATAATGGTGATAATAACAATAATAATAGTAATGATTAAAAATTTTCAAACTTTCAAATAAAGATGTTTAGACTGTCATGCAAAATCCATAACAATATTCTTCTATCGTGATTACTCAAAAGAATAATACTCAAAGGTACGGCTGCAGCAATTTAATCACCATCATCAATTTAATCATTATAAAAGCTCCCATTCCGTCTCACTTTAAAAAGATACCACCTCTGCGAAATGACTGATGATATATTAATATAAATGATAGACATAATGATAAATCATCGTATTCTTCATGAAGAACACTCGATATGAACCTTTGTATCATTTGATACGGTACATCTTTCGGGTCTAATCAGAACAATTTCATTTTCCAACGTCAAATAATAAACTAACTTCTTCAACATTGGCTGCTGTTTTCGCAGATGTTTCCATGAAGATGAGTCCATGTTCACGGGCGAACGCTTCACCCTCTTCTTTCTTCACCTCACGACGCGCTTCCAAATCACTGCAATCACACCAATTAAAAAACTCTGCATCAAACAAGCATAACGTATGGGTAATATGTGACGTATTGATTAAAACGGAAGAAAAGCAATAAAAATTTCAAGTGTGTTCAAGCTTTTAAGGTAACCAATAAGAAAAAAAAGCTCACAACAATATTTGAAAGTAATCGTTTCTCCACTCTTGTTAAAAGTTATTCAGTTTTAAATCTTTTGATATTAACACGCAAGTATTTTACTACGAATCAGTTCAACTAATGAAGAAGGACTGAACGAAAATGAACTCAGAACCTTTTATTTCCAATAAGCATAATGACCATATTTGAGTTTGAATGCTGGCGTGCGTCCTCCAACCACGATGTTAAATGATTGAAAGTATCTCTTCTGAAAGCTTCATACGATCATCACATTCAATGAAAACTCATCAAAACTTCATCAGCAAATAAAATTTGAAGCACATTCTCTCGTCAGTGAAAAACTCATTGAATGAGAACCAAATGAGCCCTACTGACGAAAGAATGTCGTTCACTCGGCAAATGAATGAATACAATTCATTAAGACGTTCGCTATGTATTTCAACTGAAATATGAAGAAATATTACAATAAGAAGAAAGCTGAAAAAGGATAGCTGAAAAAGAAAACCTGGTAATATCATAGACAAGAAGGGCACCAGCTGCGCCACGATAATATGACCGTGTGATAGAACGGAATGATTCTTGGCCTTCAAATACAAATGACTGATTATTGCAACAAAGAGGTCTCAAGAAAAAACATTACGTTGTACCCAAAAGCTGATCAATGCGGGATCGTAGAATTCCAATATTATACCGTTAATACAGTTTCACGAAAATTTTCTCATTCAAAACAAACCAATAACGAAAAACAAACTATCAGCTGAAAAAATGAATACGATATCAAAAGATGCATAAACAAAAATTATAAATCCTACCAGCTGTATCCCAAATTTGCAACTTAATCTGTTTACTATCGATTGTGATCATTCGCGCACCGAATTCAACACCTGCAAAATAAGACTCAATATAGCGAATTTGATCAACTCATCTGCTCGAATTTCATTTTTATGAACAAATTCTGCAGTTCACTTTCCTTGCAAATTAATCATCAAACATTCACGATAACGTTACACATTTACGATCATTAACGTTTAATTAGCAACTAACTGATGCGCTTGTTTTATGCTTACGATTAGAGAATAAAACTCAAATGGCAGTCATGAGACATGGCGCATCTATCTCATCATCTGGATATAACCCCTATTTGCAGACTCATCTATTCATTGTTCATGCTTATAAATAATGTAT